CCCTCAAGTCCGCCACGCAACTTCAGTCGTCGCCGGTTACCATGGTAACGGCGGCAGCAGCGCGGGGAGAAGGGGGAGGGACGGGGGTGGAGTGGGAGAAAGAGATGCTCAGAGACAGAGATACAGACATTGAGTAAGACAAAGTGATAGCTGTAAAGCAGTTTACACAAAGCACAGGGCCTAGCACATAGTATGCATTCAATAAAATGTTCCCTAAATTACCGCAGCAGGAATCTAAATATAGGCAATGAAAGATGGAAGACTCTTGGACGGACCTAGGGAGCTCAACGACCGCAAAGCCTAAACACTCCCTACTCCATACAGCATTTGGGGGAAGGGGACAGGAACCATGTGCCCCCTGCTGGCTCCTCTTAGGCTACCCTCCACTGCCCTGGATAGAAACGAACCACAACTCCCAACAGTCCTATGAACAGCAACCCTCTAACAGTGTGGGATCTTGTGCTTCATGGCCTTATGGGAGTTGGAGTCCCTGCCATCCCGAGGCTGGCAAGTTTTCCGGCCAAGAAATGTGGCAAGCCTAGGTATCCAAGCCTCTGTAAAGCCCTAAAGGCATGAACCTCTCTGTAAGCCTCCTTCCTTCAGGGATGCTCAATTCTGGGCTCCACCGAAGAAGTAGGAGTCGGGGGGGTGGGGGGGAGGGCATGAATAAACCCAGCCAATCACCCAGAATAGCTGTCAGTGCAGGCAAGCCCCTCACCCTCGCTCACAATCTTGTGTTCACGTGTTGGAAGCAGAGTCCACACATTTCAGCATCTATTATACATCAGTATACAGGGGACCACAGCCAGGGAGCTTAAGGCCAAGGGGCAAGCCTAAGGGCAGGAGACAGGAGTAGCACAGGATCACGCAGACATTAAAAGAAATCAGGCCAGAGAAACTGAGGCATAAAAACCCACTGACACTACAAGGGATGAGGGGAAACAGCAGCATATGAGAAAGCCCAAAACCCACAAAAAAAAAAAAAAAAAGGGCAAGCAAGTAGCCCTGATGTAGAGGGGGTGGGGGCTCCCAATCCCCAATCTCTTCCAACCATGTTAACACGTGCACAACGCATGTGTACACACATGTGTGAGTTTGTGGCAGAGAACATGTGTGTCCTCAGCTCCCTCCCATGAGAAGCTGCAGTTCCCACTAAATATAACCCCCTCCCCAGCCTGTGACTCACCCAGACCCCGCCTCCCCCGGCCCCCACTTCCTGTCCCACCCCCCAGCCCCCAGCTGCCTGCCACCCGCCCAAGCCTCCCTCCACACACCAGGCACCCAGCTTTCCAGTCCCGAGTCAGAAGCAAAGGCTAGGTATTTTGCATCCCATCAGGAGCTTGCTTGCCCTCCCATCCAATCTCTCCTGCCTTTTCCAGGCTCCAACCATGGGGACAACCTTTCATAGATCCCCACATCCCCACTGCTGCCAGCCCTGCCCTCCTCCTACGCTTTTTCACCCAAGTAACCTCAGTCATAAGTTCTCAGGGACCCTTAAATCCAGATGTCCTACCCCACCTTCATACCAAGTGCCAGGGGTAACTGAACAGTCCCCTCCATCTGCTCTTCTACCTCTTTCTTAACTAGGGCTAAATGCAATCTGGGAAGAGATGGGGTCATTGGGCACCTGCCTGAAACATCCCCAAATTTTGTACACCCACCATCCACTTTCTCCTAAAATCTCTCATCCTCTTCCTTAGGAGCTGGCAACCTCAGCTACTGCAACCTTCTGCCTCCCATGAGACTACCCCAAAATCCTAGCCTCACCTGGTCTATTCCCTCAGGTGAGCCATATCAGGCCCCAGCCCTCTGACAACTCCCAACTATCTACATTCCCTGTGATCAACCCTAAATTAACAGTTCCCTCAAATAGGGAGAGCACCCCTAAATGTATCTACCAGGAGATGCTTGTTCTATAATCTGAAGGCCCACCCCTTCCCTGACAGCTGATACCCCAGACCAGTCATGTACTCACAACCAATAACCTTTATCCAATGCCAGGAGCCCCCCCAAACTGGACAAAGAACCTAGAAGCCAGCTTTTTCCTGGGATGGGAAGAAGACCCCCCCTCCATGTAGCCCACCTTCCCACACACACCAGCAGGACTCCCATGTAAGCCAGGAGTCTTCTTAAATAATTCTCCCTCAAACAGCACTGGTGAACCCCAGAACCCACCAGCCCTTCCAAACATGGAACACCCCAATTTTTCAATTTCTTTATAGGTACAAAGGATCACTCCAGGGGGCACCTGTGGCCAAATCCAACATTTTCTCAGATGTGAACCCCAAAACTAAATTGTGATCCCCAAATATATCTTACTTCTGATGCTCTCACTCCCTGGCCCCCAGTCCCAGATAAAACCTATTAACCGCTCCCCACAAACTCACACCCCCCCAACACATAGCCCCCCCCATCATGCTTACCTTGGTTGTCACTATACAGAGACAGTCCATGTTGGGGGGCCTGGCCGCGGCGGCGGGTAAGGGGCTCTGACTTCATCGGAGTTTCGTTCCTCCCCTCCGTGGGTTCTCACCCCTCCCCCCTCCGCACCCCACTTTTGCAGGGGGAGCCAGGATGGGGGGAGGGGTGAGAGGGGAAGGAGGGGGTTGGAGAAGGGAAGGGCAGGGGAGCGTGGGAGGAAGGGGAAGGGGGCCCTAAAAGGGGCTCCCCAGTGGAGGGGAGGGGGCTTGGGGAGCACACCCCGATTCTCAGGAGGGGCGGGGGCACTGGGGGCTGGCAGCCCCGGAGTTCGGGGGCTGGGGCATGAGCTGGGGTGGGGGAGGGGAACTAGATTTCGGGGAGCCCCGGGGTAGGGGAGGGGTTGCCAAACGGCCAGGGGCGAGGGGCCGTGGCGGGGGAGTGGGGTGGAGGGGCTGGAAACGGCAGCGGCCGAGGGAGCCGTGGAGCCGAGGAGGGAAGGGGAGAGAGGAGGAGAGAGGAAGCAGGGGGAGGGAGGGAGGGAGCTAGGAGCCAGAATGGGGGGGGTGCCTTGGCAGAGTTAACTCCTTCAGTGCTGGTAGGAACCCGGATAATGGGAAAGCAGATAGAATCAGAAGCAGAGAGGCCCTGAAGCAAACATGGAGACCTGGCCAGCCGCCAACAATGACACCAAAGATGAAGAGGCTGGATTTCATTTCTTGGAGGAGGAAGCATTCATAGTGGAGCTGGAAGCACCTATAGTTGTCTAAATACTGGGGGGAGGCCATGGTAGGAGGTAGGGTATGAGGGAGGAGTTGACAGGATGAAGTCCCTGAGGGCCTAGTTCTCCCTCAGGAGTCACAGGAGGAAGCTTGAAAGGTAATTATGGACTGGACTCTATAGTGCATGAAATTGGGGCAGGCAGGATGGAAGAAGAGTGCATGCTCAGTGCCCCCAGGCCCCTGGGCCACTGACTCAGGATTTTGTTAGCAGGGCCCTCCAGTCTCAGTTTAATATTATCAATATTTTGCTCACCCCTCCACACCTGCCTGCTCTCTCAGAAAGTCTGGACTCATCCCAACCTCCTTACCTGACTCTCTGAGATGGAAGCCTCGTAATAGTCCAGGATGTCTGTCACAGAAAGAAAACTGAGTTATCCTCCCCAATCCCGGGCCTGTCTAGTAAAGTCCCCCTAGCTACCATGGAAAGGAAAGAGGACCTCCAGCCAAGACTGGTTCATGCTAATACAGGACACTATGAGGACCCTGCATAGGGTTTTAGCTTAGACCAAATGAACTCCAGGCTCCCAGACAGGGCCTGCCCTTTCCATAACTGCCCCCCTCTGAAAACTAGGGCTACTCACCTAGCAAGGCCTGGAAGAGGTCACTATGCAGCACCGTCAGGAGGGGGGGTGCCCACCGCAATAGTGGGGGAGCCAGGAGCCAGAGGGCTGACCTAGGAGCTAGTGAATTGCAAGTAACCAAAGATTGGGACAAGAGATGAACACACTGTCACCTCATCTACCCCAGCCTTTTACCTTTCACCCCAGACCCTGTGGACAGATTCAGGGAGAAAGATCCCTGAATTCCAGCCCCTACTTTCTCTCAGGCCACCCCTTCACAAGGACCCCTGTTTTTCACCTCTTGGTCTCTGGGACATCTCTCTCTTCTCTCACTTTAATCTCCCTAATCCGCCAGGATTGAACTTGAGCTGCCTTCTCACCACCCAATTCTAGCTGTTAGTAAAGCAGGTAGTCTCTGAACTGACCAACTGTGCCATTCTTCCCCAGGTCCCTAGGCACCACTATCACCTTGGCCCCCCTCCCCAAAGCCAGGCATAACTTAGGCACATCTTCCTGAGGGCGAGGATAAAGAGTCTTTCCCAACTCTTTCTGCTCTTGGGGCTGAACCTAGTGGGAATTGCTGAAGGAGAAGGATAAACTGCGTGGGATCTGTTGACCCAGGGCTAGAAAATTGTGTGTAGAGGGAACCTATGAGAATTCCTCTAGTTCTTCTCAGGCCTGGAAAGGATCCTCTGCCCAAAGGTCTAGGCTGGGCACATGGTCTTTATAAGGAACAGAGAACAGAGAGAGAAAGATGTTTAGGGATCTCTTGGAAGCTTTAAGCGAGAGGCAATGAACTTGGGCATCCTTCCTACTGTGAAATTTTAGGTTGTCTGAGAGTTAGTGACACCACCTAGGTCTCAGGAGAAAACGTTTGGAACATTCATACCCCAGCTTGAATCACCACCACCATCACACCCTCCCTTTTATACAAGTGGAGACAAATTTCATGAGGAAACCCAAGAGTGATCTTTTCATACCTCTACATCTGATATCTATCTTACACTTGTCTTCCCACTTCTCTCTCCTAACTCCACCAGGAAAGCCCTCCCTTCAGTCTACCTCCATCCCTCTTGCCGCAGTCGCCTGAGCTCCTCCCTCTTCCGTCCCATCTTATCCCACTACCCCTTCAGAGGACTAGACTCTAGTTCGGACAGGCTTGATGAAGGAGTTTGAGGCAGACAAGGGACGCTTAAAAATCACTCTACGTCAGCCAGAAAGCAGGGTCCGGAAGCCCCGAAACTACAGCTCCCAGCATGCCCCGCGTCCCGGAAGCCCCGCCCACACGCCCAGTGCATTGTGGAGGATGAGTCAGGTCTGGGGGCACCCAGACTTGGGCAGGCGGGACTCGAAAGCTAGGTCAGCGCCGTAGGCAACGGCAACCAGAGAACTCGGAGATGCAGGCGGCTCGGATAGCTCCTGGCGCGGGGCGGCAGCTGCTGCTGAGGCTGGGGAACGGAAGGTCCGTGTATGACTGGAGGGCTAGGGGGCAGCAGGCCTAGGTACCCGGCCAAGACTGAATTCCTACTCCCCACAGCTCGCGGCCCAGTGCGTTTCTGGGGCAGCCCAGGCTTTGTACTGCCCGACGACCCTTTGCCAGTGGGGCCGCTCAGGTAAGTGATAGCGGTTTGGGAGGATTTGTAGGAACCGGGAGCCGCTGAAGCTCCCACCTCTCCGCTGCCGGCAGGGGTCTCCCTCCCAGTCACCTGCCTATAGCTCCGGCACCAAAAGTAGGGGAAAGGGTAAGCCAGGGTGCCCTGGGGTGAAACTGGGGGAAAGGTCACTGGATCCGTCCTACTGCTCTCCTAGGCTTACCGAGAGCCCCTTCACTAGCCTGATTACCACCCTTTTCCCTAGGCAGTTCGGGACAAGTCAGATTCTCTCTCTGATGCTTCGACCAGGGAAAAACCAGCCAATGCGGTATGTAGTCCCGAGGCTGGGTAAACCTAACCCAGGGGCAGAATCACTGCAGCCAGTTCCCTTCTCTCTGCCCAGGAATCTAAGTCCTTTGCTGTGGGGATGTTCAAGGGCCAACTCATCACGGATCAAGTGTTCCCATACCCATCCGGTAAGGGGAGTCAGAAGGGTGTGGGGACTGGATGGTATTCCCTGACAGCTTCACCTGATCACCCCACCCCCATCCGTTACAGTGCTGGACGAGGACCAGATACAGTTTCTCAAAGAGCTTGTTGGGCCTGTGTCCCGTTTCTTTGAGGTGAGGAATGAGGGGACTTATTCCCTAATGGAGTGGGTGGAGATATTAAGGAGCTTAAATACAGCCTGGGTGTGGCATCCTGTGCCTTCCCTAGGAGGTGAATGATCCTGCTAAGAATGACACTCTGGAAATGGTGGAAGAAACCACTTTGCAAGGCCTCAAGGAGCTGGGGGCTTTTGGTCTACAAGTGCCCAGTGACCTGGGTGGTGTAGGCCTCTGCAACACCCAGGTAGGGGAGTCCTCTTGCCATTTTCCAACATCCCTACTCCAGCTTGGCAGATTAGCTCCTCATCCCTAACTAGGGCTAAGGTCTCTTTCAAGAACTTGCCTTGAAACCTTGTGAAACATACACATTCCCCCCTCCAACAGTAACACAAACCTACATCCACCTACTCCCTGGCTCCCAAGTCCTTATCAATCTGTTAAGTTGGGGAATGCCTGACAAGATAATGGGAAGTCTCCCTCCTACCAAGATCTAGGACCATCCTCTGTTGTACCCTTTTCATAGTCCTGATTCCTTTTCTCCATACTTAGCTTGGGGATGGCTCACATCAGGCCTTGCTCTGGTGCCCATACTTTCCTGCTAGGGGAAGGTCCCCATGAAGCCAGTTACAGCCCCAGATGCCTACTTTCCCTTCAGTATACCCGCTTGGTGGAGATCGTGGGCATGCACGACCTTGGTGTGGGCATTACTTTGGGAGCCCATCAGAGCATCGGTTTCAAAGGCATCCTGCTCTTTGGCACAAAGGCCCAGAGAGAAAAATACCTCCCCAAACTGGCATCTGGTGAGACAACTCTGGGAAACTCAGGGATTGGGAGTGTCCTGGGTTTGTACAGAAGGCCAGTAGCTACTTAGATCACTGTCTGGCTGGGCATTTCAGTTGGGGAAGGTTCTGGAGAAACTGGATATTGCCAGAGGTATTAAAGGGGATCTTCCTGGGAGGATAAGGAAGCCAGCTGAGGGGATTCTGATGCCTAACAGGACTCATGGTAAAGGAGCTCTCTCCCCACTAGGGGAGACTTTGGCCGCTTTCTGTCTAACGGAGCCCTCAAGTGGGTCAGATGCTGCCTCAATCCGAAGTTCTGCTGTCCCCAGCTCCTGTGGAAAATATTATACCCTCAATGGAACCAAGATTTGGATCAGGCAATCTTCCCATTTCTCCCCTTTTGCCCAATTCCAGGCCCCACTGCTCTGGGTCCTCCATGTTCTCACTCCCCCTTATTCTTCCACAGTAATGGGGGCCTGGCAGACATCTTCACAGTTTTTGCCAAGACACCAGTTACAGATGCTGCCACGGGGACTGTGAAGGAGAAAATCACAGCTTTTGTGGTAGAGAAGAGCTTTGGGGGTGTTACCCAGTGAGTGGATTTGGGAAGAGCAAGGACCAAGGAGGCAATACTGGGCTCTAGGATACATGGTTATTACAGGTCACTCTGGGGGGAGGTGCAGAAGCCAAAGTAGGTAGACAGCATGGTGCCTCTGGGATATGCATGCAACTGATCTAAGGCGTTGGCTCCAGCAACCAAGTCCAACACATGGTAGCAGGACATAGCTTCCTTAGTCCTCAGGGGATTTGGGAAGTGTTCCCCATACCCCAGTAGCAACCTGTTGAACACACCTCTGCTTTCCTATCCTGCCCTGTCACAGTGGGCCCCCCGAGAAGAAAATGGGCATCAAGGCCTCAAACACAGCAAGTGTGTTCTTTGATGGAGTACGGGTGCCAGCAGAGAACGTGCTAGGTGAGGTCGGGGGCGGTTTCAAGGTTGCCATGCATATCCTCAACAATGGAAGGTTTGGCATGGCTGCGGCCCTTGGAGGCACCATGAGAAGCATCATTGCCAAGGCTGTGAGTACCCTGCCAAAGTCCATTATATCTTTCTTTCCAAGTGCTCCTGTTCCCTTCCAGGTATTTCCCACAGCAGATTCCTCACCCACTACAACTCTAAACCTGCTACCTTAGGTCTCCATCCACTGTGGACTGAACTCTTGGTTGTCCAAAGCCCATGCCTAGCCCCTCTGTTAGGGAACTGCAGAAAGAGTGAACCGTGGTGGGATGAATATGCACTCTTTCAGGTAGATCATGCTGCTAATCGTACCCAGTTCAGGGAGAAAATTCACAACTTTGGGCTGATCCAGGAGAAGCTGGCCCGGATGGCTATGCTACAGTATGTGACTGAGGTGAGGACCCTTTTCCCTGCAGCCCTGTGGCTTTCTTCCCAGTCGGTCAGACTACAACCCCCAGCAGCACCTGGGGCAGTGGGTCTCCAGCTTTACACCAATGCCCTAGGGGATGCGGGGAGGCATAGTCAGCTTAGCTTCTGCCGGAGAAAAGCAATGCTCTTTTGCTAAGGTGCTTCCCAGAGATGATGGAAGTTAACTCTATCGCTACCCCCACACCTTTCAAGAAGTGATGTGCCTAGAAACCCCAGTGAACTCACTCAGGGGACCAAATATTTAGATGTGCCTGACCTGACCACGCAGTTAAAGGTGAATGGAAGGGCATAGGGAGCTAGCCCAGACCTGATCTTAAGAGATTTGGTGATCAGGTTGAATCTGATTGCAGCCCTTTTCAATTTGCCTTCCTATGTCCCAACCATGCAACCTCAGTCAATGGCTTACATGGTCAGTGCCAACATGGACCAAGGATCCACGGACTTCCAGATAGAGGCTGCTATCAGCAAAATCTTTGCCTCGGTGAGGTCCCATACATACAGTAGGGAGGGAGTCCAGTTTGGAAGCTCAGCTCCAAAACCAATCTCAACTGGTTCTTTGTCCTAGGAAGCAGCCTGGAAGGTGACTGATGAGTGCATCCAAGTCATGGGGGGCATGGGATTCATGAAGGTACAGGATGGTCCTCTGCACAGAGCCTCAGTTGGGCTAGAAGCAAGTGGTACATCTCAGCAGGGGGTTATGACCTGTGTTCCCCTATGGTAGGAGACTGGGGTAGAGCGTGTACTCCGTGATATTCGCATCTTCCGGATCTTTGAGGGGACGAATGACATTCTCCGGCTGTTTGTGGCTCTGCAGGGCTGTATGGTAAGAGAGGGGAGAATTGGGGGAAAGGGAGTGGGGGGACAGTGAATCCTGACTGTTGGACCCTCCTCCCTCATAGGACAAAGGAAAGGAGCTCTCTGGACTTGGCAGTGCTCTAAAGAATCCTTTTGGGAATGCTGGCCTCCTGCTTGGAGAGGCAGGCAAGCAGCTGAGGAGGTAGGCAGAGGGGGGTGGGGCAGGGAGGAGCAATGCAGTGGGGGGGGGGGCAGCATGTGGCAACTGACCAGTCATTCTCCCTCTTCCTTTAAGGCGGGCAGGACTGGGCAGTGGTCTGAGTCTCAGTGGGATCGTCCATGAGGAGCTGAAACGGAGTGGTGAGCTGGTAAGTAGTTGAGGGTGAGCATGAGGTGATGTCCAGAGCTGCCGGAGGGGCCTCTCTGAGCTCTGCACACCTTTCCCATCTTCTCAGACAGTGCAGGCCCTAGAGCAGTTTGCCACTGTGGTGGAGGCCAAGCTGATAAAACACAAGAAGGGGATTGTCAGTAAGTAAGCTCGACCCCATTCCCACCCCCAGCCTTTCCTCTCCCTCAGACTAACACTCCCCACCCCCTCTCATCTACCTGACAGATGAACAGTTTCTGCTGCAGCGTCTGGCGGATGGGGCCATTGACCTCTATGCCATGGTGGTAGTTCTCTCCAGGTGAGGAGGCAGTAACAGGTGCCACAGGCAGCTGGGCCAAGGTCAGCCCAAATTCATTTTCTCCTCCTGCTTCCCCCACCAGGGCCTCAAGATCCCTGAGTGAGGGCCACCCCACAGCCCAGCATGAGAAAATGCTCTGTGACAGCTGGTGTATTGAGGTGAGACTTGGGGCTGCCAAGTGCAGGTAGAGTCTTAAGACACAAGCCTAAGCCCTTCCTTCCCTCTCCCCTCAGGCTGCAGCCCGGATCCGGGAGAACATGGCAGCTCTGCAGTCTGACCCCCAGCAACAGGAGCTATTCCGGAACTTCAAAAGCATCTCCACAGCCTTAGTGGAGAGGGGTGGCATGGTCACCAGCAACCCACTTGGCTTCTGAGTACTCCTAGCCAAGGCCTGGCCTGGTTATGTGCCTTTTCTCAAGCCAAAGCCAAGGCCCCTTCCCTGGGCAGCCTGGTTTACCCCGAAGTGGGCCTGGTGGTCCCAGAACTGTGCCTGTTCTCAGGAGCACTTACTGCCTCACAAATAATACAGTTTTTAACAAGTTATGCTTTGCTGCTACCTCAGTTCTTTCCTTTAGCTGCCTGCTTCATCCCAAAGAAAGGAGCCAGAGGCGTGGGGAGTTTGCCTCTATTGCTTTATTTGGTGTTTTATACAAGTGACTAAAATAAATAGAGTAACAAAGACAGCTACATGGCCCCATATGCCAAATACCCGAGCTTCCTTGGACTGCTGTCTAGTATGATCAATCCCTTCCTCTTCCCAGGGTACCAATGACCACCTCCTACCCTGCACAGGGCACAGCCAACTGGGCAACTGGAGGAGGTCACATTCTGGGGTTAGAAAAGGGGTCTTAGGAGATGAGGATTATTCATATAAAAGGAAATGTCTATTTAAAAAACAGTTTCAAAAAGGTAAGAAAGAAAGTCTTATTTTAACCCCCAAAGGCTTATTTAAAAATCAGTAAAGCTAAAAATAACCAAAGGTCCCTTGTTTACCCCTGAGGAAAGTGGGGGGAACCAGGCACTGCTGGTGACAGTCACAGAGGCAACCTCCTCACAGCAGCATCAGACTCAGCCCAGGCACTGCAAGGAGTAAGGGGTATGTGATTGACAAGACACCTAGTCATAGTATGGGAGCACCAAGCTGAGTCTGGATGGGCCAAGAGCAGAGGCCCAACATGGTCCCACAGTGGGTTCTACATAACATCCACAAAGAACTCACTGGGGTTGCCCATGGCCATGTGGAAACTTTGGCGGCTGGCTGTCAGTTCTGGGGGCACAGAGCCCAGATCTCTGACTGGAGGAGCCCCTGGGGGCTGTACTGCTGGGGGTACAGGGGGTGGGGGTGGAGGCATCATGACCACCATCATGGGATTATAGGGGAGGGCCATGCCAGGGGGTGGCCCATAGGAATGGAGCCCTGGGTGGGCTCGGAGATTAGGAGCACCTCCAGTTGAGCCTCTGGAAGAGAGAGGACCCCCATCACCACTCCCACCAGGTTCCCCACCCCGCCGAAGGCTGCCCCCGCGGCTGGAGGGCTCAGACTCACTGCCGCTGCCAGACTTGGACTCAGGGGCCCGCTCCTCAGGCCTCCCCGTGCGCCCTACCCCCCCATCGCTTCGAGTTGATCCACTGCTCCGGCTGCCTGTGGGGGAGAGGGAATGGGGCAAGTGAACCCTAGCCAAGCTCCTTTGGCTTTCCCAGCCCCCACCATAGCCTCTCCCTCCTGGATCCTCTCTGCTCTACTCTGGGAACCTGGCCATATCAGTATCCAGGGAGACTTACCCTCACTGTGCTGGCTGCTGGCACTGCCCCCACCATAGGTGTAGGATGAAAGCTCATGGTAGGGTGGGGGTTGGGGACTGTAGGGGTGCGAGGCTGGGTATTGGTAGGAGAAGGTGGGCAGCAGGGGCCAAGGGGTGGCCCCAGGCAGAGGAGCCAGAGTGTCCTGGTCTGAAGCCCCACTGGAGCCATCGTTGTCATTCAGAGATAGGTTAACTAGGTCTGGAAAGCAAAGAAAGGGGAAAAAAAATCACTGCTTCAAGAGGCTGCAATCTCAAGTCACTGAATGGAGAGGAACTGGGAATTATATCCCCAGATCCATCACAGATTGGGGTAAAACAGGGTTACAAGGCCCACTGACAGGACATTTCCTACCTACTGCTGCCATCAGGCAAGGGCACAGCCAGGGCCATCACCAGGCCATATGCTTTTGTGGGACTTAGGAAGAGATGCCTCTCCCGGTAGCAGACACAGTTCTGTACCTGGTGTAGGACTTATCTAATAGCACACAGGTGGACGTCAGCCACCACCTGGGCCAGTGAAGGACCTAGTGTAGGACATATACTGCTGGACTGTCCACAGTGGCCTTAGCTGGGTCTCTGGGCTAGGTCTGGGATCAGAGAGGCAGAATTAAGGGAGGCACTCTCCCAGGGCTAAGACAGGGACACTCACAACTCTCACAGCCACCACTGAGGTCCCCGAAGACATAATAGCACTGCTCAGAGAAGGTGATCTTGTTTACGGTATGTCGGATCAAGCCCGCCTTGAGCAGCCCACTGGCATACTTGCGTGCCTCCCGCCGCTCAGGAAAGCCCTCCACATGATGGTAGAGCCAGTCAACCACATCTGAGCCTGGAGAAGCCACAGTGGAAAGAAGGCCTCAGATTCTGCTTTCAACTCCTGTCTTTACCCCTGCCTGTGCCATTCCCAGCTTTAGTCAACCTCCTCCTCCCCTCCCCATGCCATCTGCTCAGGGCCCAGCTGTACCCAGAAAGGCATTAGGGATGGTGATTTTGAGCCACATGCGGTCCCGGACTTCCAGCCCAGACTCTGGAGCTGCCATGGCCTTGGTCACAGATGCCATGTCTGTATGGATGGAGAGGCCCTGGCCCTCACAGCCTGGCAGAGGAGACATTGGGTTATCTGGGGTATGGCCCACTCACATAGGAGCTACAGTTTAGGCTATTGCTGGGCAAACTTTGAGGAGGTGGGGTGGGGGCTCACCATCAGGCAAAGAGGATCCAGATGTGATGGTGCTCATGGACGAGGAACCTGGATAGACTGGGAAGGTACCAGTCAATGCAGCAGAATGTGACACCCAGGCAGCAGGGTCAATTGGCTGGATGGGCTCATCTGGGACAAAGGAGGCCACCAAGATGACCACTTCTAAGTCTCAGAAATCTAACCCTGTACCTCCCTCAGATTTCTGTGCCACCTATGCCTGGCCCCTACTCCACCCATGCCCCATAGCCTGTAGGCCCAGGCCCAGCCTCAGGCACCTCCTTGAACATCACTTACTTCGAGGGAGGGTGAAATAGGCCTGGGGGGAGGGATCCCAACACTTGGCCACAGTCAGCACAATGGGGCTGTGGGGAAGAGGCGGCCAGTCAGAGGGGCAGGATGGAGAAGGCCTCAGAAGAGTGGAGGCCTGGAACAAAAATGGACGGACGTACAGAAAGAGGGTGACAAGAAAAAGAGCACATGCGTGGCTGGGACAGAGAAGGTGAGGGTAGAAGGCCCCACAGTGTGGATGACTCACTGACAAGGATAACCCTTACAAACATACCGCTGGTGAAACAAGAGAGTACACAGTGCACAATTCCATTCACAGAAAGTTTAAAAAAAAGTAAAACTAACCCATGTTCAAGGAACATGCATAGGTGATAAAGCTATCAAGTGAAGCAAACATTTCTTTGCCATGGTGATGACCACAGAAGCCAGAAGAATGACTAACCCTAAGGGAGTGAGATGGCTGGCCACAGGAAGGGACAGTGCAGGTAGAGAATTGGAGGGTGTACACAATCTTCTCCTATATCATGACCTTAAGTGGTGGTGGCATTAGCATTCACTCTAGAATTATTCACCACATTGCATGTTTTGTTTTCATGTAGTGAGTGTTATTTCTATATATTAAAATTGCAAAACAAAAAGTGAAAGAGAGGCTCGGCGCCTGTGGCTCAAGCGGCTAAGGCGCCAGCCACATACACCTAAGGTGGCGGGTTCGAAACCAGCCCGGCCCACCAAACAACAATGATGGCTGCAACCAAAAAATAGCCAGGCGTTGTGGCGGGCACCTGTGGTCCCAGCTACTTGGGAGGCTGAGACAGGAGACTCGCTTGAGCCCAGGAGTTGGAGGTTGCTGTGAGCAGTGAAGCCATGGCACTCTACCCAGGGGGACAGCTTGAGGCTCTGTCTCAAAAAAAAAAAAAAAATGTGAAAGAGAAAAAACAAAAGGACCAAGGACCCAAGACCAACTCACAGACTCACCCAGGCTTGTGTACAATATCCCTCAGCACCCGCACAGCATCGTCATTGCTCATGTTCTCAAAGTTCATGTCATTCACCTAGACGTGAGAAGATAGAGGTCTAAGGCTGGGCGCAACAGGCTGCTGAGAGCCCCTGCCCAAGGTGGCTCAGTGGCCCTACCCCAGCACACCTGCAAAAGCATGTCCCCTGGCTCGATGCGCCCATCAGCTGCCACAGCCCCACCCTTCATGATGGAGCCGATGTAGATGCCTCCATCTCCCCGCTCATTGCTTTGGCCCACAATGGAAATGCCCAGAAAGTTGTACTTCTCTGAGGAAAGAGTCCACATGAGGATGGGAAGCCCCAGCTAAATGACCACAAGGAGCCCATGAGTACAGGTGTTCCCCCTTGCCCCAGCCTCAGGCTCCCTCCATACCCATGTTGAGTGTGACTGTGATGATGTTGAGAGACATTGTAGAATCCGTGACACTGCTGAAGGACGAGCTCTGTGGTGGGAAAAGGAGCAGGAGCTAGTGTGCCTTTCAATAATCCAGGATAAGCCCTGAGTTCTGCCTATACCCTAGGCTGCCTAAACCAAGGCCCACATCCCATCTTCTCCCAGTCCCAGTTGTGGCAGGGGATCCCTCTCACCCTCTCCAGGCGAGGTGGCCGCTGTTTCCTCCGCCGCCGGTGGCGCTTAAGGAGGCGTGAGGCACTGCTCTGCTCTGTGGAGCTGCTAAACCTGTCGAGAGGTGGGAAAGGGAGCACTTGTAGGACACAGGACGGATGAAGTGAGCATAGGGCCAATAGAAAGAATGACAAGAAGGAGGGAGGGGAGGGAACTAAAAAACCAGGAGATGTATGGAGGCCTACCTGCTCATGGTATCATCCTCTTCCGAGTCCCCCAGGCTGGTACTCTCCAGCTCACTGGTCATAAGGGTAGAGGAGCTCTCGTACCCAGCCAGGTGGCGTTCTAGCCTGGAGGGGCCACCAGCCCTATGACCCCCAGCTGCATATGAATAGGAAGCTTGGGAACCAGGCCTTCCACTCCTCACACCCACCAAGGCCAGGAGGCTAGCCCAGCCCTTCTTGGCCCCCCAAGCTACCATCCTCCAGGGGCTGCCCCTCACCGCCATGCTCACTGCTATCTCTCCTGCGAGGCCGCTCTCGCCTCAATGAAACTACTGACTCACTCTCCGTCTCAGGCTCCAGATTTTCACGGCTGCTGGATATATTAGGGCTAGATGGGCAGAAACAATTTCCAGCCCATGTCAGAACAAGGCTCTAAATCTGGAG